AGCACTATTTTTAAACCCTGATCAACCAAATTCCCCGAGATACAATATACAGTGCAAGTCACATGATAAAGCATATTTTAAAAAAATGTTATCACACAAACCACATCATTTATTTTTTTGGAAATTAACTCAGAAAAATGTTTAAAGAAGATTTTTTCCTTACACGGTTTAATAAGAAGTAGGAAATTGAAGAGATTTCTGAGATTTGCATAAAGATTGCCAACAACTTAAATGGTCACCAAATATGGGTACAGTACAAAAGCCGAAAGAACAACGACCTTTTTCTAAGTGTAAACTTACTTAAAAAAATACAACGTATGAAGGGTGCTTCGTATGGCGTTTTAAACTGGAAAAGCTCCAAATTAAAATATCAGACTTGGTCGCATGCACAGTATCACGAACCGTATGGACACTGTGGTCTCAGGTCGAGATCGGCAACCCGGCAAACCAAGGTTGCATTAACTATATTGAGTTACCTTGTTTAGCCTTGCATCTCTCATGATATCCGTTCCTCTGATAGTTGGAATCTTGTTGACGTGCCCTACCGCCGACATGGTTATTTCAGAAGTTTGAAGCACGGATAAAGCTTGCTTGTGCAGTTGACTAGCTCCGACCAAAACGGACTCCTGTCTGTTGGTAAAAGTAGTCACGGAGAAAATTAGTGTACGTAGTTGGATTGCATGACAAGACAAATATCATACTGAGATCATCAAGTAAATATATCACTTGATGAAAAAAACAAACTGAAGTAAAAAAAAAAAAACAAATATGACAAAGGAGGATAAAAACGAAAACCCTTCCGAAACTTTGACATGATTATGTCAAAGTTATGATTATAGCAATTGGTTCTTTAGGAGAAATCAAGATACATTCAGCTCACTAACTGTTTTATCGACATTCTCCGTAAAAGTGTTATACGAGCATAACAAAACCATGAACTTAGCATGTCTTTAGAAATTAAATCAAAGGAATGCAAGCATTCTCCAACTTAACGGACTTTTCAGCTGACATCATCCTGCTGAATGGAATATCGCCCAGTATACCGCGCGTAAACAAAGTGAAGCGGAGAACGATTGCAATGATAATTTTTTTTTGCCGCGGGGGGGTGGGGGAGCGGGAGCGGGTGGTAATTTTGTATACGGCTCGCTTGTTTTATCAGCTACTAAAGACATTCCAATACAGAAGGCAAACCCTTCACGTCCTTTTCTCTGACGTTTATGTTGTGAGTTCTGGAAATTTAGCATTTATCAAATAATTAACAATTGGTTCATACGTCAGCGTGCGTTCAAGATCGAGATATGAAGCACGCGGGAAGTTTGGAGAGCACGACAGATGCATAAGAGTTGCTCGGGGCGTAGCCAAGAGTAACTCTAGATTCTTGAGTGCTACCCAAACTTCCCAAGTGCTTCATATCTCGACGAACGCACAGCTGATGCATGAACCAATTGTTTTAGTACACTTTCAACCCGATGGAAAATTTTTTTTTCTCGAGGGATTTGTTTGCGACGTCATGAGCGTGCACAATAGGAATATGAAGCACGCTCGCGCAATTGAATTTGATTAGACAAATTTACTAGCTATGTTCTAATCCGATTTGAAATTTTACATCACACTTCTTCTTCCATATATGTTCGTTTCGGCCAGGCACCAAAAATTCCTCACTTCCATAAAAATGCAAAGAAAGAAATACAGTCACACAAAATCTTCTCGGAGTGACACGCAAAGTTGCATATTCCCGATTAAACACCTGTAGAGACCTGGATTAAACGGAGAAAATGTGACTAATTTCTAGGTCGTTTAGCAAAATAATGTCCCCACGTTAAATTTATATTAATGTTAGACAGGCCATTTTTTAAAGTTCTACAAATGGTTTTGCAGCATTACCTTGATTTTCCCTCTTCTTGTCCTTTGCCCATAATAACAACTGAGAAATCTTAGAAATAAGGATCGATGTTCCACCCAACACGATTGGATGCTACAGTTATGCGAGCGGACCTGTTGTTCCTAATTATTTGGAGTACTTGTACTTACCGAACGACCTGTCGTGTTTATAAATCTATCTTGTCTTTCATATCAGGCACCTTTCGATTATTTATCAACAAAACGCCCATCAGCTGTCGCAAGTGAAACATAGTTGTTTCGATTTTGACGGGCTCTCAAATATGTATACAAACCTTTGTTTTTTCATAATGTTAATAATTCAGTCTGGGATAACAGCCAAGTATTGGATAACCAAATCGGGTTATTCTCGTGTCAATCACGTTTCTGGATCTGACGTTCGAATGTAGCCAGGTAAAATAGTATGTTGTTAACTCCATTTCGCTTTCATATGAGCGTGTAAATTCACTACGCTGCGTGCGGAAATCTCAAAGTTCAACGGTAAAATCTCAAAGTTCAACTGATGCCAAAACACAATTTTTCTGTCCAAACTGGGCTATGAGCCATTTACAGATTTCACAGTCTAGACTTGACATTCAACAAAATAATAGCCTAAAAAGGCAGATAGCTTCTCTGTCTTTTGTTTCTCGCTTGCGAAACAAAACGATGAAAGGTCATGAAATGGAGGTCTTCTTCTACGGGTCGGAAACCATTGGGCATTAGGATCCCTGCTTTTATTTGATAAAAGTTCATCAGTCTCAAACAGGCTTTCATAACAAGCTCTTAAAAATTCTAGAACTGTTACCGCGGTAATAAATAATATGGCAGTGGTTACTTATTTAACTGTTTTGAACCTCTTTCTCAGTTTAGTGTGCGTCCTTAAGACGATTTTCACAGAACTAAACATCTTCCTTGCATTTGGACAAATCTGTAGAGAAAATCCACTTGAGGGGTCCTGACGCAGGAAGTAAATACCAGGAGGGGCTAATTTTAGAAACTGTGTCCTTTTCATATAACTGATAGACACAATATCTGTTGTCCACAGGTTTTCTTTACAGAAAAAACTAAAGGAAATAAACAAGGCTTTATTAGTAACAGTTTCAACTTAACACCTTCACAACACAGCGGAGTGTTTCTCATTAGGACAAAAAATCCCGAAATTTCGGTTTAAGGTCAATGTTAAGGCAATTTTCCGGAAATTCCGTTGGGAAATTGTGAAGTGCGTTCAGAGTTAATTCTCCTTTTCCATTCAGAAAGTAACGGTGGAAAATTCCTTTGCATTGAAATGAATCCTCTTCATGTTTTCAGGCTAGAGGACGACGAAACGCCTAATGGATAAATGGTACGCGCAATTTCATCCGGTTTGTCGGTCGAATTCGGAAAATCCCCCAGCATTGTGCAACAATTACACCGACCGTAATTCTCCAACAAATGGTAAGCATCCCTCTGGGTGTCTGCTTGGTAGGAAGTCTCAAGCACTTTAACAGTTTTGAGAAAAGTGAAGTTCAGTAATGACGGTTGATGCTCTTCTATCTCCAGAGCACACCCTTCACTATTGGACCACCACTATACGAAAATGGCCTTAAAATCACGGCTGATGAAGTTTAAGGATATGAACAAATATATCCTACGCGATTCTGGCGTAATAATCTACTGTAAGCAGGCTGTGTTCAACGATAGACCCAGACAAGGGAACTTGATTACCTTAGTTCTTTTTCTAATAAATATCCTAAATTTATATTAGTTGCTGTGGTTTTCTTATTTTGACAGATTCATATTTCACGCCTCCAGAATCCTATATCCTTCACTTAGTACACTGAGTTCTGATTCACGCGCACCGCCCAGCCACTCAGATATACAACTGAGACACTTCAAACACATCAGAACGAGACTCATCAAAATAAAATTCGATGTCCGAACTTTGGTTATGGAAAAAAGTCAAGTACAACAAAGATTGCGATTGCAATTAACTTCTCATAATTATCATTACCAGGACCAAGTCCATTTGGTAAAAATGCATAAGAATGCTTTACCTATTCTGGACCTTGTCTCTAGTTACGTTGCGTGTAATTCCTTCGTTTAGAGCTTCATTTAAGTGTCGCTGAAAACGGCATCCTTAAAATTGCCTTTATACCTCATAAATTTACAAAAACTGATGCATTTCGGAGAAGAAAGAACGAATTAGGTTTCCCAATCTGTTATTTGCAATCTGTGTTCACTCTTAAACCCCTAGGAGTTACTTAACATCTAGCTTCTCCTTACAAAATCACCCCTGAATCTAACATTAAAGTCATGGGAAGAAGCTCTTGATTGTTACACAAATTCTCAGCACCTTAAGACATGTACAGAGAACAGTATGAAGAGCATGCGTACTGATGTTAGGGTGTAGAGGGTTAATCTTGGCCATCCCTAATCATCCTTTTTCACCGTCTTTTGGTTTATTCTCGTTTTTCATACATTATATGTATATACATTTATTTACTTCTCCCGTTACTTACATGGTGGTCAGTTGAAATTCCAAAAACTCTTATTACTTTTAAAATAAGGCGAATCACATTCGCCTTCTAATTGGTTCTTATAGATGATCAATGATTAAAAAGACTGTGCTTCTTTATCACATACAACGAATAATTTCCATGTTGTCGTGAGTCTGTTCAGTAACAACTCACAGATGACGTCAAAATGTGGCCATAACATCAGTGCCACTTCCTTTCTTAGCACATTGTGACGTCGTCTGTGATCTATTACTGAAGAGATGCGTGGCAGCATAATTCAATTCAATTCAATTTTATTTGTTAGCAATACAATATTATCACAGTCCTAGGTGACCCGCAATTAGCAAGCTATTCTAGGCGGGCCACCCTTCTAAAACAAGTGCTGTCTCTGCTAAGGATCACATACCGATACAATTAAACAAAGATAATCATTAATAAAAATACAATTGTTAAATAAAATAAAATAAAATTAAGTCCGTTGAATAATTAAATAATCAATTGCAAAGTTATCAAGATATATAATACAATTGAAACAAGACTTAGTTACTTTATCAAGAGATATTTACAAATTTCTGAGCAGCGTATATCAACATTCATCTCCTCATTTTCCAAAAGTTTTAACAGCATAGGGTCTATTTCTTAGTTGAAATCGAATCACTTACTCAAGTTACGTATAAAAAACTATGTACAATACTACAACTGCTTATATGACAATTTTTACATATAAATAAGTTTTTAAACAACATAAAATTACGCTATTATCATGCTATCGAAGTTTTCAAACAAAATTTTAACTATTTCTATCAGTCATCGCAAGCTGTATTCGGTTCATAAAATATATCAAATAGAAGTATTTTAATGATTTCTTCTATTTAAAGGAAGGTTCTTCAAGTTGACATCATGAAAAATACCTCAAAAAACGTTTAGACATACCTACGTAAAGGTTAAAGAGAGTAATGCATTTTCAGCTTTGTCCCCCTCCGAAAAAAATCCCCATATACATTTGCCTGCTACAGTGGACCCTGTTTGCGATGAATAACAAAAAAACGATGGGAGTGTGGGAAAAACGTGGGGGACTAACCTCATAGATTTTCTCTTGCCCCCCTTATTTCCTCGCCTCCACTACAACTGACTCAGGCTATACGTGCATTTAGGGTAATTTAGAATTATCAACCGAGTTGATAACGTAAATTGGTCACCGTAAAGAGTTTCAAAGCTGACGTTTCGGGGATAAGCCCTTCGTGAGAACGACGCTTCGTCAAAGCATTAACCCTTCGTAGCGCAGCTTTGAAACTCTTTACGTTAGCTAATTTACGTTATCAACTCAGTTGATGATACTAAATTACCCTGTTATACTCTCCCACCAACGCAGCACCAAAGTTTCTTTAGAAACTTACCCCCTTTATACGTGCATTAGTATATACAAGTTAGCCCTTATATACATGTCTTCCTGATACAAGTCCTTTAACTTTTCCACATCCTGGGTATTTTGCACGGCTAAGCCTCGTCCAGTATTTGAATACGTTGTCCATTGTACAGCCAACACGTGCGTATATTTGGCGTTGATTCACTCAGGTAAATAGTCTCTAGCCTTTATGAACTGCACTTCACTAATATGTAAGAGGTATCTTCGTCTCCTCTTATAGTTTAGTTTTATAGTGCTGCATGGATTCGTGATGCTGCCACACATCCCCCAGGGCTTTCGGATTTTTCAATGAACTTTTCATTTCCAGCGCACAAATCTCGAAGGCTTGCCGCATTTGGAAGGCACATCTCCTAGGAGGCATCCTGCCAACAGCTGTGCCAAGGCCAGGACATAACACACTGGTGATCTGATTCTGGGTATTTTGTTCTGCTTTGTTGTGTTCCTTTACTGCCAAAAATAAGCAGATAAGATTGACATGTTAAAGCAAAGACATTTTCCTGTTCAGAAACTTGCGGGGAATGGGAGAAGAAACACGGGCCTTAACGTTAGGGTGTTGGTCTGACTGAAGCCCATGCTAAGCTCTCTGATTTGTTCAGCGGAGATGAGAACAGACTTTGGCCAAATGGCAAAGTTCAGGGGTTATCTTAGCCCATCATGAGTTTTGCTTGCCCACAATTCCAGTCATCCACACAAACAACAAATATATGGAACAGGCTACCTGGCTGAGGTCATAAAACCATGTTCTTCAAAGCCAGAAAGGCTGTAAGAACATTTCTTTACTTATTTCCTTGGTTTGTTGTATTCTCTTCATTCCATTGTTTTCTAAATTGGCAACTATTTGTTATTCATAGGTACCTAGTATTCCAAACAAGAATTGTTCTTGACAGGACAGGCACTTTTTCTTGAGTTCATGTTTGTATACCTATCAATAGCATTTGTGTTTGTGGTTGTTTTGCCTAACAGTCATTTTGCTAACAACCAGTTTATTAAACTCCTAGGTCATTTTGCCAACATCTCAGGTCAGTTCACATACATATACATCTCATAGGTTGTTTTGCTAACATATTGGTCTGTATTACAAAACATAGCATGGCTCCATCGGCAGAACTTAATTAACTTCTAATAGATGGAAAGCTGTAGAGGGAGCTGAGTCATTTCAATACAAACTGAAATCAATTCCATACAAGACTGACTAGCATGAAGTGACACAGTGGCATTATAGTAGGTGTCCTTGACCCCAGATTTCATAGTCAGATTTCAAGCCCAAGTCACGGTCATACGTTCATATCTTGTGTTCTCCTGCAAGATGCTTCACCCTCACAGTGTCCCCTGCCCCTAGGGAGTCTACATGTAAATGGTAGTGGTGGCAATTTGTGCAGGAAACCTTGATAAATCTGCATGGGGTATGACCTTCAAGGAACTACCATTTTGTCTGGGAAGAGTAGCAATACTCCTTGTTCCTTGGTGATTTTGAAAAAGAGGTTAGTTCAGATATAGAGGGCCTGTGCAGTCCTCCAGATAACTACAGGCTTTAAATTTTACACTTAGAAATATATATAAAGTTCATTAAACTAACCAGCTCTTATGACTGCTCTGAATGCCAGATAAGCATTGACAGTATCACTAACATTCATCGGTATTCTCATTGTTGGTGTGCTGATGAGATACTTAATAAGTTTTCCTTCATTAAACTCAGGATTTTTAAACTTCTTCTCATTGTCATCTGGGGACAGTGTCTCAATAATCACAGCTAGACCTACAGGTAGTTCACCATCATGATTCTGTTTCAAAAATGCTTGGAGTCTGTGTTGCATTTGCCAGCCAAAGTGATTGATGTAAACCTGTGGTTCAAAACAACAACAGAGGCAATGATAATTAGACAAGGTGAAAGGGGGTGGCCAAAGGGGAGTGTCTAGGGTGCTATTTGTCAAGTGAAAGTGGCAATTTATCATAATCATGATATTTGGGTACATCAGTGGATGATACTCATAATAAAGTTTTAGTTGTAGGAAAGAGGAGGGAGAGGACCTCGAGTGGAAAACTTTTCCTGGCAATGAAGAACCTATCCTGTGGACTACATACAGGAAAACCTCAATACAACATCCCTTTTGTTTAGTTCCCTTTTTTTCTGCAATATTTTAAATATTGCTTTTAAAATCTCCATAGGACCTGCCCCCAATAAGATAATTATTTATGTTGCCTTACCATGTCAATACCTCCATCCATGAATCCAAAACTGTTTGCTGGGGACACAATAGCATCTGCTGCAGGAGCCCCTTTAAAAATGTCTCCACAGGATATCTACCAAAAATTAAGTCAAGAAATGTCAAATCTTAAAAAAGACAAAAGCTAAGTTTGAAAAAATTGTAAAACGTGTCAATAAGTGTTATTCTCTCCATAAGTGTTACAGTAGTTTAATAGCTGGATTTGGTCAGATTAAATTTCATATTCCTGGGTTGTATATTTGACCCATTCAATTGGCATTCCTAATAAAGTCCACATCCTTAATGGCGGACGAGACCAGGCTCTTTTACGTGTAAGTAACAGCCCGCCATCTATGAAAGAATATGGTATCAAATGAAATCATTCGCCTTTTCTAACCTTAACGGTATTGCTGTAAGGAGCAAATTCTTCCTGCCATGCATCAACCATTCCTGCCTTTATGTCCCTCAGATGAAAAATCACTTTCGAAATATCCATGTTTTCCATCCCTTTTCTGTTAGCTTCCGTTATTGAACGTTTGAGCCTGCACTCGCGTTACAGCGGTATCACCAATGGTTGTTGTTGGGAATTACAGAGATATTACATAAAGTAAAAAGCTGACAGCCCTAAAATGGCGAGTCCAATGATCGCACTGAGATTTTCCAGCCAAAATTTCTCAAGAAGTCTGGTAAATTTTTAACAAATTCGACAATTTCTCAATTTTTTATCCTAATTTATCCTCCTTTTGCTTAATGAGCAACGCCTTTGTTTCGTAGTGCTGGAATGCGTCCATGAAGCTTTTCTCTACGGTACCAGGATTACACGTGGGTATAACGAATGTAACCATGTTAAACTTCTACAGTAAACCTGCCAAATTTACACTAAAAGTATATTTTTAGATTATCAGTACCATATTCAGCTATATTCTTGAAAAAGTTTCACTTCTTTTAGCTTTGGCTTTGATGATTATGTGGGGGCAAGTTTCTAAAGAAACTGTGGTGCTGCATCAGTAAGAGAGTATAACAGGGTAATTTGGTATATTCAACTGAGTTGATAACATAAATTAGCCACCGTTAAGAGTTTGAAAGCTTTCAAACCCTTTATGGCGGCCAATTTACGTTGATAATATTAAATTACCCTTTTATGTGCAATTAAAAGGTAATTTTGATTTTAAGAATTTGCATCGTCATTCAACGTAGTAATTTTGTTTTCTTTACATTGTTATCGGTTTTATGGTAAAAAATTGACTTACTTGAAATTAATTGTTATTTTGCCGATGGCAGTTCATAAGAATGAACGTAGATACAAAGTTTTGAACTATGTCTTTTGGTTGTTTCAATTTTCAGGAGGTGGTTATTGCAAGTGCAGTCAGAACACCAATAGGATCCTTTAGAAGTACACTTTGCAATTTTCCAGCCCCAAGATTAGGAACTATTGCAGTAAAGGCTGCAGTAGAAAAAGCAGGTGTTGTATTTGTTGTATTAAGGGGAATTTGAACCAGATATAACAAGGTTTTCCTTCAGTTGTTTTAGTGCCTCTGGAGAAACACTGTTTTTATTCTTTTCATTGACTAAATTAGAGTTTTTATTAACATACTTTGTACTAATTACTATGAACTAATTTTGACATAAATCTTATTTTATTTTTTAAGCAGTTATTTCTCATCTACATTGTTAGCCATCACCAACTTGTGTTCAGTTAAGACAAGTTTAACTTAATTTAGCTGTGTTTTAGAGAGAAACTTACTTCAAAGACTCAAGAGGTGGATTTTTCAGTGTGTAAACCCAGTTAAAATTAGTATGCAGCACAAGAAATTTCTTGCTCTCGGAAGTCATTTGCTGTTCTATATGTGAAATTGGTTACCAGTTGTTTCATAACCACAGTTGTTTCGTACCCAGTTGATTCGTACCCTGTAAGGACCATTCATTCCCATACTAGTAAATAGTTTTTACCCTGTTTAGCATGTTTGAAGTAATAACAATAACAATGAACTTATATTGAGATCCAATATTTTATTGTCAAAGCCTCAATTTTTAGAAATCATAGACAGAAAGAAATGACAATCTTCTGTTTTCTATTGGAAATACCAGCTAATGTATGTCTTTGTTTTTAATAGTAAAGGGAGGAAAAATGACACTGTCCTTGTGTGAGGAACTGTTTAACTGTTAATGTTAGGAAAGTCACAAGTATAAACAATACTTTACTTACCTTGTGTTAGGCAATAATTTAAATGTTTTTCTCTAGAAGGTCACAAGTATACAAATCAGAATTGTATTTTTATCTTACCTGCTTGAGTCTACTGACATGCTGTATACAATTGATATCTTTTCTCATGCACATATGAGATATTTCAATTGAATGAATATTAAGACAAGTATGGATTGCCCAGAACTTTAGGTTCAAACTGAGTCAAACTGGGTACAAATCATCTGAATTTTAGTACAAAACGACTGTGGGTACAGAATGACTGGATACTGATAAATTGGCTTGGCTCACACTGTAAATACTTAAAACTGATAAGTCTCTGATGTTTTTTTTTCTCCTCAGTCCAGTTCTCCTTCTCAATGTAACCTAGGAATGTAGAAGTCAATAATGCAGAGTTGAAATACATAGCAAAGTTTGAAAAATATTCTTGGTTTTCTGAGATGCAATAATTAGTTTGGGTGCCACAAATAAAATTAAAATGAAGGGGGAATAAGAAAAGTATGTTTTCGGTGCAGGAGACGCTCTAAGCCAGCAGATTCTGGTTAAAAGTAGACCCTGTTGAGCTTTTATCCCTTTCAGTCAGTCTAAATCATCTTCTTAGCCACAATTTGAACAAATGACTGATATTTAAGGCAAAAGCTTACATATTTTTTAACAATCAGTGAAGTGTGCCAGCTCCTAGCTGCAGGCTCTGATATTCAATCTTGTAAAATTTTACCATGCCTTTACCAATTCTTATTAAGGTATTAAACCAGAGGATGTACAGGAGGTCTATATGGGAAATGTGTGTACAGCTGGTGAAGGTCAAGCACCAACAAGACAAGCAACACTTGGAGCAGGTAACACAGTTACTAGCAACAAATCTCTGATTACAGTATCACCCCTGAATCAAACAAGAAGGGGTCACAAGAAAAAAGGGAAATGATCACCAACTAAAGAAGCTTTGATTGTTAGACAAATTCTCCTTATCAGCACCTTAGGAAATGTATAGAGAACATCATGGAGAATATACATACTGGTGTAAAGGGTTAAAGCAAAGGAAAGTGAGAGGTACAAAGAAATTTCTGTGAAAGTGTTGATCTTCAGGCTGTCCATGACAGCTTGCCAAATGATCATAAACTTGAAATATTAAGTTTTACCCTTTGGTCTGACTGTTGGCCTTTACAACAGGGAGTCACTATTTCATTGGTCATATTTATACATAATAACCTTACACTAGTTTGAGGAATAGCATTTTTTGTGATGATTCCCAGGCTTACCAATATCAACTCCATGTACAACCATTAACAAAGTGTGTGCATCTGGTATGAAGTCCATCATGATGGCAGCTCAAAGTCTTGCATGTGGAAGTCAGGTTTGGGCTGATTTTTTTTTGTGAGTGAGTTTACCAAGAGGTTGTCTTCAAATTGCTCTTTATCCATATCTGTCTTGGGCCTCCTTCTTACCCTTCTCCAAAGACATCCCTGATCATGCCCTGATGTCATCTGTTCACTTCTCCTTTGGTACTTATCCCTCTCCAATTCCTTACACCTTTCCGTCCACAATATCCTTTCACACACCAGGTTCATGAATGGTATCATGGAGAATGGAAAAGCCATAATGAGCCTGTCAAAGTTTTTGAGTCAGAAGCATAGGATTTTTTTCTTTAGAATTTGGAAAGGTAATGTTGTGTGAAGGGTGCAATTATAGCAATGCATGTCCAAAGACCTGGTTTTGAGGATTTTCCTTCTGATTCTCTTTTGAAGGAATCCTGAAGGAAACTTCATTTCTTTTATGCTTTTAAAAGTTTTTGAAATAGCTAGTTAAGACGTAAAAAATTGAAGTTGGTCTGCTGAATGTGAGAAATTGATCAGTTAACATGAGCTGGTGCACGATAAAAGTTTGGTAGCTATGTAGTCAGAATTATTCCGAGCGGCAAGAAATGCAATCACTTATTTTGTTTTAACTGTTGAAGCTCTGATGCACCAGTGAAATTCTGATGCACTCTTCATTGTAAGTTTTTCTCTCCCATTTTCTATTTGAACATAACATTCTTTCCAGTTCATGTTTGGATTGAATAAAATGATGCATTTGTTGAGTTCAGGTGACTTCAGACTGATTTAGTCACTTGGAATTAAGAATGCTACAGAACCAAGACAATTGAACAAAAAAAGGTGTAAGCATCTCCATACCTTGCTCTGTTTTTCTTATTACTCATTGTCTCACATGTTTGTTTTACTATATTCTTTACAAAGCCATCCTGCAATATAAAATCTTGTTCCCAAAGAAAATATTTTGTACTCATCGACTAAGAAGGAGTGGCAGGTCATGTAATAAAACTGGTGATCAAGTCAGAAAGTTACTTTATCTTGTGCTTTGTGTTACTTGTGTCGTCAGGAAGTAATGGTTGCTGGTGGAATGGAGAGTATGTCAAATGTTCCATTTTTAGTTGGGAGAGATCCACCAAAGTATGGAGGACACAAAATGGAGGCAAGTAACATACTGTAAAAGCTCTGATAAGCCCCTGGAGAACCCTCTTGAGGGCTTATAACTCTGGAAGGCCTATTACCCTGGAGGGCACCCTGACAGGGACCTATTAAGAGAGTGTGGAGGAGGGTGGGAGGGGAGAGGGAAGTCTTATTATTTCATGTCAGATTGGTTGCTTAGTTTAAATGGATATTGAACACAGACTAATTATTTTTAATGAAAACTTATAGTTACTGTATTTGAATTCTGGTGTTTCTTCTATAATTATTTAATAAGATGAAATTAATGATTTTTTTCTTGCTTGTCAATCATGCACTTAAAATAAGATGTGGTGTATTTGTCCCTTTGTAGGATGGGATTGTTAAAGATGGCCTATGGGATGTATACAATCAGATCCACATGGTATGTAGAAATAAGTATCCTATAAGAAGCTACCATGCTTGGAAAAAGAGTATCAGATTTCAACTTCTTTCCCTATTTTGCCACATTGGAAAGAACAAACATTTTTGTTAATTTTTAATTTCAGCTATATACAATAGTTTCTGCATTCCTTGTGTGTACAGTTGGCTTTTTGATCACTTCAAGTCATCTGAATGGCAGAATGCTAAATGAACTGATGAGACGTCCATACAGAAACTTGTCAAGCTTAATGCTGTTTTTGTATACAGACCTTGTCAAATATTACATGTTTTGAACTCTGTTCAGTGTTGCTGAAGTACCACAACATAAGAAACAAATCTAAGAAAAGGGCCCAGAAAATCTTTCAACTTCTTATATACCACTATAGTGCACTTCTTATTTTTCATTGAAAAGTTGGAAAGAACCTTTAAGCAATACATATTTTAACCCATTACACTTAAAATATTTAATCCTTTATACCCTAACATCAGTATGTATATTCTCCATACTGTTCTCTATACATTTCCTAAGGTGGTGATGAGGAGAATATATAAATAAAATCAAGAGCTTCTTTAGTTGGTGATCATTTACTTCATTCATTCTCCAGAACCTTAATGTATAATTCAGGGGTGATATTGTAAGGAGATGATGGATGGATAGATGGACATGTAAACTTGAAGAAATACTAACTAAAGGAACTAGCATCCCATCCATAGGAAGAAGAAGGAGTAATACTGATCTCGTCATCCAATAAAATTTAGGTTATGTTCCCTCAGCTTTGTGCCTCACCCACACATGGAGAGTTTTAATTCCAGATATGGTAGTCACTATTTAAGTGGTGACACTGACAAGCATAGTTACAGTAGTTACTATTTAAATGAAAAAATAATACTTCCTGCTATTTCTCAGGGTAACTGTGCAGAAAATACAGCTTCGAAGCTGGAACTAAGCCGAGAGGAACAGGATGAATTTGCAATAGGCTCTTACAAGAAGACAGCAGCAGCCTGGGAGGTAATTATCCATTTTTGTCTGAGGGAATAACATGGAAGAAACGTTACCTGAGTACCAGTATTAGGTACCTTGTGTTCTTCACCTGACTGAACAATTGTGGAAGACACAAATGAATATTAAGTTTGAGGAAAAGAGTAGACTAAGTTCAGCTATTTCAGTCAAATGTGACCTGACATAAGCAGTTAAACAGACCTACAGTTTACTTAACTCTTACATGTACATCCAATTGGTCTTATTCTTGTCAACCTACAGGCACCCTAATCTCTTTGGGAGAGCAGATTATGTGTCAAACCACATCATGCGATATCAAACATGACTTCAAGTATATGGATTTGTATGGGATTGATATTGGATGTGATTGATGTTGTGTGATTTGGCTTAATACATAATCTACTCTCTGAGGGAGCTTAGGGCACCTGTAGTCAACCTCACTATTCCACCAAAGGTTATTTTCCAGCATTTTATTCAGCCATTTCTTGCCTTATGTGAACATTTGGTTTCCAAACTCAGCACTTACCAGTAAAATTTAGGAAGCTAAAGGTAAAACTATGTGTTGTTGAGCTAAACATTTTGGCTGCCTTACATAGGTATTGTACAATAGCTAAGACAATATCCACGAAAGTTGGATGAAGTGCTGATAATACAATATTAGTAACACTCTTAAGTCATTGTTACCATGGGAAGGGAAATATTTTGCTTTGTGTATTCCATTTTAGGCAGGGAAATTCAAAGATGAAATTATTCCTGTATCCATTCCTCAAAAGAAAGGTATGTCTGTCTATTACTGGATGAAGAGGGGGGCATTGGGGTGTATTAGAAACCACAAAACCATAGAAAAAATCATCCAAAACTGCAAAACTGCAAAAAAAAAAGATGGTTAAAAAACCGAAAAACTTTCAAAACCAATAAACTTTCCCATCCCAGGTATTAAAACCCTAATTGATCTGATGCAGTGGTGACAGGTGGAGCATACAGAGGTTTCACAGCTATTCAAGATCAATGGAGGTCCAAAATATTACCACTTAGATTGAAGAGAAACAGAAACCCAAACAGGAAAAACTGAAAACCACATCAAAATCTAAATCTGAAAAACCATAAGTATTTTTGATGGAAACTGAAAACCAAATGCTAAAACATGGAAGATCCGCAAACCACAACGAACAAAAATGGAAGTTTTTTTTTTTTTGCAAAAACCAGAACACTGATCTTAAAAAAAATAGCCAAAACTGTAAAACAGAAAATCCTAATGCCATCATAGATTGAGATTACCTTGCTTGTTGGTGTGAAGACAACCTATACAGTTTCTTGTAAAGTACTTAAAAGGTACTGAGTACTTAACTGTTATTAAATGCAGAAAAAACTCACCCACAACAACGCTTTTAGCTGTAAATCTCTCATGAAGCTACAGCAATATGCTTTGATGTATCTTAAGTATGGCAGTTGTTTGAATATTGTATTCACTAGCTATAGAAATCAAAGTCAAGTGAAATTGGCCACAATTTTATATTTTGTTTGTTATCAGGACAACCTGATGTGGTATTTAGTGAAGATGAGGAATACAAGAGAGTTTCATTTGATAAGTTTGCAACACTGAAGCCTGTTTTTCAGAAAGAAAATGGTAAGCCCTCTTATTTTATTTTAGTGATTTAATTAGTCAAAATTTTGGCCAGAGAAAGTGTGGCTCCTTCTAGCAAGTAGATTTGTTGTTTGTACAGTTGGCCTTTAGATCACTTCAAGTTACTTGATAGGTGGAATGCTAAATACACTGACGAGATGTCCATACAGAAATTTGGCAAAATAATGCAGTTTTTGTATACAGACCTTGTCAATTATTATCTGTATTAATACTGTTTAATAGCTGAAATTCTTTGATAACTAATACTTTGCTGAATATGAGAACTTCCCTTCATCAAGCCTAATCAGGCAGTCTATATTTGATAATCAGACTTTCATAGACGCATTTAGTAGGTGGATAATTTTTTTCTCCATCTCTTGGAATAACTTGATTTTCAATCAAATAATTGATATTGAAACCGAACATTCAGTGATGATTACTGGGTGGTAAGGTGCTTTTCTCTAATATTAAGCAACATGTGTATTCATTTTACTGTAAGAAGACTTGAGTTAGTTCATAACTGTGGGCAAGAAGTTAGTGATTAAGCAATTCTGTCCTGAATAATGAAACTGTTCTGAGAAATTACAGCGATAGTTCAATAAAATTTAGCATTTTGATAACAGAATATAGATGTGCATGTTGACTGTTATGCGCTTCTTCATATTTAATTCTTCAGGTACAGTAACAGCAGCTAATGCCAGCACTCTGAATGATGGGGCAGCTGCTCTTGTGCTCATGACCAGACAGGCTGCTGACCGGCTAGGAGTAAAGCCACTTGCCTCCATCATAGGTAACTTGAGAGAGCTGGTTGAATAACTTTATTGTCAGTCAGTCAGGAAACGTGACCATCCAGAAAAGGGTTGCTTGCAAGCTGGTCTTAATAGTATTAGCCCTGCTACACAAAGGTTTCATCAGCAGCGAAAAAAGTTTGAGGTGAGCTGGTAAGATGTCTGAGAGAGGTCTGGCGCTAATAATGGTGCCAGACTCCTTCAGACCTTTCCTTGCACAAGGCCTCAAACTTTCTGACACAGTAAGAAGTGCTTTTTCCCCAGCTCTATCGCCCTTTAACTCCCAGACCAAATTTGTAATTCTCCTGACCATCAACCATACAATTCTTATAATGTTAGTTCAGAGAATTTAGTGTTAGATCAACTAATTATCCCCAAATTGATAGTTTTCTTTTTTCTCATCACTTGTCTAGTTGATATTGTATTGATATTGTAAGGAGAAATTTTGTCTTGGTCACTCATGGGAGTTAAAGGCTTAATAAGGGCCTGCTCAGCCAAGATAAGTCTTTTAAAGTACTGAAAAAGACTGTGATAAGTTACAGTGATTGATGTTTGAGTAATCTAAGGATAAACTGACATCAGATTCAAGGGAGGAGTTTTTTTTTTTATAAAACATTATTAGTTTAGTTCATGAGAATTGATTGATACACTCTTGTTTACTTACCTTAAAGGGAGGTATCTGTATTTTGTTCTTCAGGTTTTGCTGATGCTTCAGTTGCACCCATAGACTTTCCCATTGCACCAGCTGCTGCCATGCCCAAGGTGTTGTCTTGTACTTAAAACGTTGAGTTCTTTTCAAAGCATTTTACAATTTGGTGTATACTCTATTATTTTTGATATTGCTGATGCTGACAGTGTGCAGAGCAAACACATTTGTCAAACGTCTGCGCATGTGCAAACCTTGTAGAGTCTAGGTGAGGCTAACTGGTGTGCTTTTAGGGTGTCAAAAACAACTTATCTTATAAGCAAACGCTCAAGTAAGTAAGTAAGTTGCAGTGTTTGAAAAGCATAAAACTATTTTGGTAAAGCTAAAACAAAATGGAAAATTAACAGGAAACCCGTAATCAAGTAAGCTTTGTGTAAGAAAGTCTTGCGTTTTCCTTTTACCTCATTTTGTCTTTTTTACAGATTTACATGAAGCCATTAATGTTTTTTTCTCGCATATTTGGCATGACAGTGTTTGTTTTTTCTATTTTCCTTTGAAATTTTGCGAGGGGAAATTGGCGCACGGCTGACCAAAATTTATCCCCTTGTGCATGCCCTACATTTGACTGTTGTGTTATGCAGAGCAGTTGTCACATATGAACGTAGTAGTGGCTTAACTCACCACATAGTTCTCTGTAGTTCAGTGGTAAAGCAGAGTACAGAATTGGAAGGTCTGGGGTCGATTACTTGTGGAGGACGCACACGCCCATGACAAGATGAATAACACCTTTTATTATTTTTGTCTTGTTTTTGTTTGCCTTAAGTTGTTACAACAGACAGGATTAAAGAAAGAAGACATTCACATGTGGGAGATTAATGAGGCTTTTAGTGCTGTTGTTTTGGGCAACATAAAGGTCGGTATAAAATAGTGAGCAGTGGAACTCCCAGAAAGGTCGAAATATGTTCATTTTTAGTATATATCTACTACATTCTATTACAAATGCTGCGACTGATCTGATTGGCTTCGCGTCTTGCTATCTCTTCCGTGATAGATAGAGACTTAAGTGATTAGCCTAACACAGTGTGGTTGAAAATAAAATGGATGTGACTTGAAATGCATTTTGAGTAAAGTTATTGTTCTTGTTGTTTACAGTTGATGGAGTTGGATCCCGAGAAAGTAAATATTCACGGGGGTGCCGTGTCCATTGGCCATCCTATTGGGTAAGTTTTTTTGTTGATACTGGTTCAAGATAAAGGGCAGAAAAAAGGTGAAAATAAAGATCAGTAGAGGCTTGAGCCTATGGGCTGGAAAGTTTAGGTTACGCTCTGGCAGTTATGCAAGTTTGTCTCGTATACAGACTCTACCAATTATACTCGTTGAATTATCGTGTCCAGTTTGTTGATTGCTTGTTTCAATCTTACAGTATGTCAGGTTCACGGTTAATAGCTCACTTGACTCATACTCTACCCGAGGGAGCCCTGGGTCTAGCAAGCATCTGCAATGGAGGTGGAGGAGCATCAGCTATGGTTATCAAAAAACTCTGAAGTCAGCTGACTTAACGTCATAAGACAAACCTGACGTCAATTCAAGTCCATAGCGTAATCCCTCTGTTGTGGCTAGTTATTACATCCAGTTCAACTGCTTAAGTTAACTAGGTGGGGGCTCACTAGAGGAAATGATATCCGGCTGGGTGTACAGTTTATATCGTTGCAACACAAGTTCTGTCCGCACAGATTGGATATCCAAAGAATTCTATTAAATTTTGCGTCTTCTTAGTAATTATTAATTGGTCAAGTCACTCGCGTTCAAGTGTTAGAAACAGGCTACAGTTTGGCAATAGGATGGAAGAATGCAAAAAAAAAAAACGGTTTATTTTATGTAGACTTGCGTGCTTATCTCCTCAGTAAAAGAAACAATGCAAACGAAACGACAAAAGAACTGTAAGACTATTATGGTTGTCGAGCACAAGGTGTTCTCAACGAATACTTCTATTTCAAATAGTGCTCCCTTTTAAGTCCTAATGGGTGTAAAGTTGTAATAAATGTCACATGTTGCTTTCACTTGAAGAATAAAAATTTGTAACTATGAATCTATCCTAGAAGTGAGCGCAATTTCAGCCGTAACATTTAATCATTCAGCAGCAGCGTTAGATTTCAAGCGTTTACAAAACCATTCCCTTAAAGTTACACGAAACACCTTTCATGGAAAGTGAAACCAATACTTTATTTTTACACGAACTGTTCACTTCCTGTTTTACATATATATAAAATACACAATAAAAGTAGAAAGTAGTATATTAAATATACCCTTGAAGATATCACGTTCTTTGTTCACGAGGTCCTAAAAAATGGACCATGGCAAATATTTTTTTTACAAGGCAACAAACAACCAACAAAATAATAATACTGTACATCTCAGTTTTGTTCCAGGCCTTTTGTTATTTTTTTTTGTTTTGGTCACAAATTCCATTATCCTGAAAGTCTTTTAAAAAACTAGTCAACGTACCATTTGTTTTTCAAGCCACATAATTTTAAGTTATCCCCGCCAACACACTTGGAAATAAAGCTTTGTAGAAGTTCTCTCATGAATTTCAAAACTGTTCGAATAATTCAGTTCGAATCTAAGGATAATACAATTTAATAATCCAATAATTTAAATGATGTCACGTTACGTGGTAACCTTCGACGCAAACTGAACGTTAAGTCGATTCTTAACCCTTAAAACTCTACGAGTGACTAGCATCAACTTTCTCCCTACAATATCACCTCTGAATAACACGTTAAGGTCATGAGAATAAAGGAAATGATCACCAACGAAAGAAGCTTTGGATTAGTAAACAAATTCTCCTTGTCAGTACCTTAGGAAATGTTTGAAGAGCAGTATGGAGAATATGCATACTGATTGTAGGGTGTAAAGGGTTAAGATTGCTATCGCTAAAAGGGGTCACAGCATTACTACATCGGTCATACAAAGCAGTCACCCCCACGAGACATCATCAGCATTTGTTCGAGTTCACAGATCCTGGCGTACAGAACTCCCTGTTCCTCCTCTGCTTTGGCTCGCCACCAATTCTCCACCTCTTGCATTTGACGCTGGTGGTGCACCTATGGAAATGACAGTGGAATCAGCATCGACTAATCAGAAAAAAAGGTCAACATCACAAGGAGCCAATAAGGAACCAGAGTAATAAATACGCGTAACCGACCTAGTACGCGGGAAAGCGCAGGTGGAAAAGTCGCGAGAGGTGTGACTTTGTATCAGTTTCGCGGAAGGCATAGCGTGAGTGTTCCAGACCACTCAGAAAGCTGCGAATTTAATAAAACCTGCATTCGTTCCTTCCTATTTTTCATCGTAAGTAGGCGATGATGAAAAGAGCTTTAAAAAATCCGCGCACCTGTGTAGCAGCTAAAGTCTCGTGCACTTTATGAGAATTTTCGTCTTCAATCACTGGTTGCGCCTCAATCACTGTGTCTAACACTTCTGCAACAGGTTTTGCTTCTATGATTGTCCCCGAAGAGTGGAGGCCGGCTCTGTTGCCAACAGGTCTAGCTTCGATGACTGTTTCCACGGACCCGGTGTCACTGATCTGTGTACGAGAACTTGAGCAAGTTCCACTTGAAGCCAACTGCGAAAAAGGTGCTACAAAAACAAAACAAACAAAAAGGACTTCATAAATAAAAAAAGAGTTATAATCGGACAACAGCAACACCGTACAGCATGAATGTTTCGCGTATTTTGCGGAATGTCGTCTATCAGGCACTACATTTAGTGAATTTTGGCGGAGTTCTTTTTTTTTTTTTAAACCAGCGGATCGAAGTTTACCCGCAAATCCTGTAAAATGTCAAAACCCATCAAACATCCCAGCATGCTTTACAGTAGATAAAATGTCATTTTTGGTAAGGTATGAATTAAGGTGAATTTAATACTCCGTATACTACACTTGTGCTACTTGTTAAATATACTTACGGGACATCCCTCCACTGTTTTCCAAGTGGTGCATGCAGTCTTCACACGGACTCCTCCCAAGGTGAGGGGAACTCATACTTCGCAAACGACGGATCCCTCGATCAGTAGCACAGTTCTTTCCTAATTCAGGATTACATCGTTCGTTTTGATCGATAAAAGGCATATTGTACCCCGCAGAAATCTGCCCAAGTCTTAATTCCAGTTTACTCAAACCTCCTTTAATTACACCGCGCATTTCTTCCCGTATGTTATTGCTGCTATCTTTTAGGCTTTTACTAACTAAGCGACTGTCCGTGGTGCGTTCATGTTTTTTACTCCTACTCCCTTTCTCTTGTAATTTTTTCTCTTCTTTTAACTGTTCCGTGAGTCTGTTTTCAAGCCGTTGCAATCTGTGTTCGAGTCTTCGCCGAGCGGAGTCGATTTCTGCAGTACACCGCTCTTGCCACGCCTCAAGACGGCTCAGCTGCGTCTGACACGTGCTGCAGTGACTTTGGTTACAAGGTGTAGTTTCAAAGTCAGCCTAACGAGCAGAAGGCATCAAGTTTATCAAGTTTGCATCACAGAAAGTTAGCATATACCAAGCCCTCAGTCAGTGGGGGCGAGAGAAAGAGCGTGCGAAAAACAAACAGTGGTGTTTCTTTGCCTGAACCCCGGTATTCTTCCCACGCCCCTATGGATTTTTCGCTTGTTTTCACTGACCAAGAGTGTGGCACAGGCAACACCAAAGGAAGTAGCTCGTCGTTACATTTCTAGATCGAGCAAATAATATTCACAGCGAAACCCGTTTGTGATTTTTAATGGTGGTCTACACGTGGATCTAATTCCTAACGTCGTTCACCTATCGTGTGGCAATAATAGTTTGAGAGTGCTGAACAGGCTGCAAGTACTAGGACAGACTATGCACTTCTTTTTGACATTTTTCTTAGTAGTATTAAATTAGAAAAGAGTTCCACCCACAACACACCCTACTTTATCATGATCAACTGATTTAGACAATCACCTGAGTAGACCTTCATTAAATGAACGTTTCCAAGACTGTCACTGATTAGAAAGGGAGCCGAAACACAGGTTCCACTGCAGTTTGCATTCGAATTCAATAGTTCTTTGATTTTCTATCACTTTCTATGATCTGGTAGTTGCACCAGTAAAATTAGGAAAACAGAGAAAACTGATGAAGTTCGTGAGGACCGAGCCTAGAGCCAAGTGACTGGAGGCGTGGAAGGGAAAGGTCAATTTTGTTCCCATTATACCCTTCCCACATCTTTTCACCAAATCACTACTTACCCCCAAACGGTGCACAACCTCTTTTCGCTCGTTACTCCTCCCGTGTTCGTCGGTTTTTCTTTTGTGACTCTTGTCCCGTCTGGCTCTATCTTTCTCCTTCTCTTTTTCTCTGTGATGTTTCTTTTTCCTATGTTCTCTGTCTCCATCGTCCTTGTCTACATGTGTCTTAAAGTCCTTTTCATCTGAGTCTACGTCCCTCCGATCTCTTTCCCGTCTTGGTTCCGATTTAGATCTGCGTTCTTTGTGTTTCACTTCCTCGCTGCGTCTCTTTTCTCGGGATTTTCTTCGTTTTTCCTGACAAATAGTGCAGTCTGATTCATTTCCATCTTTTTCGTCACGACGTGGATATTTCTTTTCTTTTTCTTTATCTTTCCGTTTTTCTTTCTTTTCCCATTTTTCCCTTTCTTCCTCGTGACCTTTTTTATCTTTCTTATCCTTTTTTCTTTTATCTTTCTTTTCTCTGGTCTCTTCTTGCTCTTCTTTTTCTTTTGACTCTTTTTTCACTTTATGTACACCATTCCCCATCACCTCCCCTCCGGAGGGTGGGAATTTCTCTTTAGGTTTTGTACAGAATAAAGCGTTTTTCAAGTCTGGGTCACTTGCGCTCCTGAACAAGGAGAAAAAACCTTTTTCCTTTTTGGTCTTCTTCTGGGAAAGGCTCTCCTCTAAATCGTCTCTGCTTGGAGCGCTTTCGGAAAGAGAGAACACGTTTAATCCTTCCACTAAGATTTCCAAATAATCTCGTTATTATCTAATGTACATTTCTTAAAATGTTAGTTCTTAGAATTTCTAGGCTTAGGCATCATCCCCATTAAGCTATCAATTCATTCTCGTCTCCTATCCACTGGTAATTTGTTGACAATGTAAAAGAAATGGTAAATAGATCATTCATATAAGTCACTGTGAAGAAGTTGAGAGAAGAAAAAATTCCACGTAAAGTTAACAACCTCCCATGTGTGCCGACCTTTATTCGTCCCATTCGCTCGCGTCCAAACATATCGGCGGAAACTGGGCTTTCTGCTACAAACCTGCTCTTGTTTTGAAAGAACTTAAATGAACCAAAACGAAAACCATAAACAAAATACACGAGTCTGTGTTATGAAATCTGTTGGCTTAGAGAACAAAAATCCAAGACAAAATATTGACATGGAAGCTTTCGAAAAAACATACGAAGCACTAACATTCCTTTTACATTTTTCTATCGTTCGTCATTTTCAAATTTTATTGCAACTGTTTTGAAACTTGGCGGAAAGTATTAAATCGCGTGTTAAATTTAAATAGCTGTGTTAAACACGACATATCACTAAAAAGTTTCTTGGCTTAGACTTTGGTCAGGAAAGATTTATCAAACTGATGCCCAACTACTCCTACAAAATGAACCCTCCAAGTAACGTAAATGCCATCGACTGAGGATCTTTTCTGTGAGTGAAAATAGCATGAGAGCCTTTTTCGAGACAACTATTTTCTGATGAAAACAGGAGAAAAAGAGACTTTTATTACAAGATATTACCAAGAGAATATAAACTATATATTCTCTTGATATTACTAAGATAACGTTAAAATGATTTATCATTTCCAAATTCATCATATTCCCATTCAAAGATAACGTTCATTCCTCTGAGAACATTCGATTAGGGAAAATCTTATTCCATACGGAAGTCAAGAACGAGTAATGTTTTTCGCTAGTGATCGTTTGCAAATTTCCAAGGGCAAGAAAATTAGCTTTACATATATTTTAAAGAATATTCTTTCTTTGTGTTAATGAATTTGTTTATTAAAAAAAATATTAATCAGAACACCTATTGAGGCAGTGTTATCTTCAGTCACAAGAATGCCACTCTTT